GGAGTAGCTTCTTCTGCTCTATTGAAGAAGCAAGTTAAGCCAGCTTTTTAGCTTCTTTGTGCCTTTTGAATGGCACAAAGCAGCTGGAGTGGACCCAAGAACTGTGCCCCTTATTTTTTGGTGGAGTGATCTATCCCAAGACTCTCTGGCATACTTATATGTGCTACAAAAATGCTTCCTGACAAGCAGGTGGATGTGAGACTTCATATCCAAGTGGTTTTGTTTGTGTAAGGAAGTCAATACCCAGCCAGGTAACTGCATTTCTTTGTTGCTTCTTCTATATCCTCCTTTCTGTCATACCTTTCTAGTCTGGCATTTCCTTTCTTAATTGCTTCTCTTTTCTTCTTCTCACCACTCTTTAAAAAATTCAGCTTTGCAGCCTTGCCTTTCCCAGTGATGGCACTGTGCATTCTTCTCTCCTCCACAACCATTTTTATCACGGTATTCTTTCCTCTCACCCACTTCCTTCTGGTGTTTTTTGTTTTTGCTTTGGGGTGGGTTTTTTCTGCTGACCTTCTTCCTGCTACACAGACTAAAATACACTTTTACATCACTTTTACTTTTGTCTGTAATTTTTTCTCAGCCTGTTTTTTTTTTATGATATGCTTTCCTTTTGTTTTAATGCTGTTTTTGTTTGTTGCCAGTTTTTTGTCTCATTTCCCCTCTTCTTTGAAATGTATCCTTTAAATGTTGTTTCCATTTCTCCGTGCTGTAATCTATTTTTTAGTATCAGTATAACTGCTTTGAATTCTGGTTCTCAATCAATTTGTCAGTAGACAAGAAAAAATATGGAATTGATTTGTTGAAATGAAGGAAACATTACACAAAACAAAATCATGAAGATGCAGCTGTATGCACCTCAAAACTACAGTCCAATTGCATCAGGTATTATTGACTTTGAGAGGAATTATCAAAATAAGGAACAGAAGCAGATAGCCAACAACTTAAAAAGCTCTGACTCTGAGTATATGATCTATTTACCTTAAACTTGCATTTGTGGCTGCCCCATCTGAGTTGTCACAGAATAAATGATACCACAAAGTAAGGTAGTGGGGCAGGAACCTACAGGAGCATTGTTCCTGCTTTATTGAGCACTTTTGACCTCACGCACACTGTATGTGTGGGGTTGCTTCACATGGAGGACACCATTTTATGCAGAAAAACAATGGGTCGAGGGGTCATGCCAGAGAGGCAGGGTTCTGGTAGGGAACCAACAGCGGGTGAGGTATCTGCACTGAAAAAAATCAGGGCTACAAATTATAGTCCACACCGGATACATGTGCTTTGTATGCATCACTACTGAGGCCAAGATTCTTAACATGACTCATTATCTCCAAATTAAAGCCTTCAACAAACTTCTTCAGATGGAAAACCTCTACCCAACAGAAAGACTTCTGTCTTCCAAGGATAAGACTGATGTCTGTAAGACAAGACCTGATCCTTCTAATGTAAAAATAATAAAACCAAACAAAAAACTTTCAGGCCTTCTTTATACATCATAACAAAATAAAGAAAATGTTCACATTAAATTATCCCTGGTACATGAAATGTTTGCAGAAATATTTTCACACAGCAGGTTTTCCAAGTTTGTTCTTCTACATCTACTGCTCTTCCAAGCCACATCTTTGTATTAGTGCATACTGGGAAAATCTGGTCAACTGTCCCATGATGCCATAGCAAAGGACAGAGTTCAAAAGGGACTTGTGTTCCTAAGTCACTCTGGCGCTTTTGGCCATCTATCCAGGTTGCCCAGATGGTATGTACACAGAGTGATGCCAGTAATATTTTAACCCATGTCTGCTCAGATGTCCTGCTGAAAAGAATGCTGGTAGAAAGTAGTAGCAGCCAGTGACACGAATGGAGTTAATGAATCCTGTCTGCACTGAACCATTTACAGTGAGACAAATGTGTGCCAGCCTAGGCCTCTGGCAGAAGCGAAACACTCTTAGCTCTCCACAGTGAGTAAGCTTTTGAACCATGTTGTGTGTGGACCCCACACACGCGTATAGCCAACCATGCCAATAGCTAGTTACAAACATCAAAAGCTGATGCGTGGGCAATGCCTCACTGACACGCCTTCAATTTATGTCCTTGGAAACAGCTGTGCTGTGCTGCACTATTGCCTTGAAGGAGATTGTGCAGGAGTAACTGACTGGAATGCTGCAAGCAGCTCCTTTTAAGGTGCATATACAGGAAAGGAATCCAGCTCTCTCGTGCTCTCTCTCTTAAGACTTTTATCACTAAAAGCAAACAGATATGACTGGAGCATAGGCAGAGATCAGCTCTTAGGAGTAAGAACTTGCTATTTTTCAGAGGAGAACAATAATTTAAAGGCCAGCTGGAGAAGTGATCAGAGTGATAGAAATGACATTAACTAGACTTTATAGTTGGTGGAGGAAATTATTATTTATAGTGACTCATTATTCAATTCCTGGGTGTGCTTGAAATAATGAGAAGGTATGTTGATGGGCATATTGTGCCCTGGTGAACTTGGACACATTTTAATTGAAACAAGTGAAAAAAAAACAACATTGCCCCTTAGCATTGCTGGCTAAGCAGCAACCAGCACAGTGAGTTTCAATTTTTAGGAAACATAATGCCCTCATAAAGGTTGATGGAGCAGAAATGTATTAATAAGAGTCAATACACATCAGGAGTCTGATTTTTCTGCCTGTTATAGATTTGATAGATTGTCTCTGTCTCCATACTCATTTGTTCATATAATCTAAATGTGTGTATGTGCTTGTATATTTGTGTATACTATAAAATGGACCAGTAGACAAACATGTATTAGGACCTCCACGGTGCCAGTTGGGTCATCTGATTTCAGGATTCCTCTTGGTACTGCTGTTGGGTTTGACTGCATTCATGCCCAATTGATTAAAGATGGGGTCCACACTATTAAAATAGTTTCTGACCTACTGCTCTAGATATCTGTCCCACCCCTGTCATGATCCAGTCCATCTACTCCTTCTGTCCTGTCCCCACCCAGAGATCCCCCATCACCTCTTAAACCTGCCTCCCTGCCCAATATTACTGGCAATGTGGAGATTACCAAAATCCTAACCACACTTCTCTTTCTCCCTTCTATGTCTGAATATATGGCCTCAATGGGAAGCAGAACTTACCTGAGAAGTGACTTTTGGAGGCAGGAGTGGGTAGGCTGCAGTGGTCAGCTGCCAGTGAAAAGTGGCCCTGGTGACACACTGAGCTCCTCAATTCCCACTGAAGTCAATGGAAGTTAAGGCTGTTCAGTACCTCACAGGATTAAGGTCTCAATCTGGTTATGTGAGATCTGTCCTGGGTTTGAGGATAAAATGTTGGGGGGTGATGGGAGAAGGGCTTAATCCTCCTCCCCACACCTCCAAGCATCTGATTAGCAGGGACCATGTGCTTCTTTTAGCTTTATAAAAAATAATTGGGTCTGCAAAACTAGACTGGAAATTGTATGGAACAGAATTTCTGATATTTCCAGGGTGACCCAGTTGATAAAAGACTGGTCTAGCAGACAGGGCACCTGAATTCAACTCCTGGTTCTGCTACTGACCATCTGCGAGACTATGGGCAATCAATGCACTGCTCTGTGCCTCAGTTTCCCCATTTGTTGCATGGGGATAATGGTACTTATCCTATTTTGTAAAGTGCTTTCAGTTCTATAGATAAAAAAGATACATACGTATTATCACTACAGGTAACAGATTGAAAAATAATGGACTAAGTTAACCAAACCTTCAAACCTCAAAAATGTTTAATTCAAATTTTCAACTAAGGTTTAAGTGTCTCTTATTTTGTCACCATTTTTGCCAGGCCTACTTTAAAATCTCATTTTTAAAAAAATCATTGTTCTGTGTGCCTGTGTTAATAATTACCTTTAAAAACCAAAATCTGTTTTGAAACCCAAGTGATCTGTTGTCATTCACGCAACTTGTTATTTTTTGGAATGCTTGCAATTTCAGACAAAACCTGCACATTTCCGTAAATGGAGAAAGAGAAAATGGATTTCAAAACAGCTTCAGACTTCTAATGTGCTACTAAAAACAGAAGTAAAATAAGGAGTTGAAAACATCTGATATCAAGGTGGCAGTGTCCCTTTAAGGGAGTACTGGTGAAGGATTTGCTACCCACTCTCTGTAAAACGTGGAGACTCCTAGCATGTTACAAAGCAAGGAGCACTGCACACATTTTCCAGGTGCGTTTTGTTTAGGGAATGCTATTACTAGAAGCACTGTTTTAGATTTTTCATTAGTGAATCCAAGAGAGATGGTTTGTGCTGATTGCCTTGTTTGTGCATGGTTTTACTCTCCCTCAAGGATTGTGTTACCAGAGAAGATTCTTCAAGGGAAAGAAGACTATGAGTCAGTATAGTGTGTGTGTGTGTGTGTGTGTGTTTTCTCCTGTGGGACAATTTGTGATGACAGCTTATTGCTGTGATATGATCTAGATGAAAACTGGGAGTGTTTAGGGGGTGGAGGGACTGTATAGCCTTAGTGACCAAACCATTGTGAAGCAAAATGTTTGTGGAGTAACGTATAAGATAGGGCTTTCTGCAGGTTTCAAAAGTTGGGACAGTTTTCATTGCATCCATTCTGATGGGACAAGTACTCTGAGAACCCTGCAGAGCACAAGATAAGTGTTACCCTCCTCAGGGACATATAGGAAATCAGAATGTAATAATGTGTGTTTTGTTGCAAATTGTTTGTATAGCGCTGAGGAATACACAAAATGACAACTGCCACCAGATAGCAGAACGGCAAAACAGTGTGAAGGCATAGGAATTCTGATGGGCATGACTGAACTTCCTCCCTTTGCCTCCCCATACTTGTTCTCACCTGTCCTTACACTGTGATTGCTCCTTGAAAAGCAGTGATGCTGAAATCTGGTAGTATTGGATTGGTACAGTCCCATGCATTGTGATAGCTAGCTGGCAATCTCTGTCAGTGCAGGGAAAGGACTCTGTCTTCCCCCTCTCTTTCCCTGTCTTCCGCCTCCCCTCCCCTCACTCTGCTCTGCTCTGCAGAGAGAGAAAGCTCTGATCTCTAGTTGCATTCATTCTCATGAGTGTCTCAGACGGACTACAAAGAACGAGCTTTTTATCCTGTACTAATGAAACAGAATCCGAGAGGGATCTACCTGTCTGGTAATTGAACTTGTGAAGAAAAAAGCCCAGGAGTCTTGAAGTGAAGGTGGCTTGTTTGGGGACTGTAACCTTATGGAGACTGTGCGATAGGGCTCTTCATCATCCACTCTCTACTGTGCTTAACATTTTTACAGGGGGAAAAAGAGGAAATGTGCTGACAGCAATTGCCCAGCAGAAGCAGCTTCAAACTGGTGAAGATGGAGAACAGCACAGGGGATGAACAGAACCAAACAGGGCTGCTACCAAGCCAAGAGGTGATCAGTATTGACTACCAAGTAGTTACCATTCTCTTGGTTCTCCTCATCTGTGGACTGGGCATAGTGGGCAATATCATGGTGGTGCTGGTGGTCCTCAGGACCAAACACATGAGGACGCCCACTAACTGCTACCTGGTGAGTCTGGCTGTGGCTGATCTCACGGTGCTGGTGGCTGCAGGACTTCCCAACATCACCGAGAGCCTGTATGGATCCTGGGTCTATGGCTACGTGGGATGTCTCTGCATTACGTATCTCCAATACCTAGGCATCAATGCTTCTTCTTGTTCCATCACCGCCTTCACTGTTGAGAGATATATTGCCATCTGCCACCCAATCAAAGCCCAATTCCTATGTACTTTCTCAAGAGCCAAAAAGATCATTATTTTTGTCTGGGCTTTCACCTCCATATATTGTACCCTCTGGTTTTTCCTGCTAGATCTCAACACAGTAGTCTACAAAGATACCATCATTGTTTCTTGCGGCTACAAGGTGTCCAGGAGCTACTACTCCCCTATATATATGATGGACTTTGGTATATTTTATGTTGTGCCAATGATATTGGCCACTGTCCTCTATGGACTGATTGCCAGAATATTGTTCCTGAATCCCATCCTTTCAGATCCAAAAGAAAACCCTAAGACACAGAGAAACAACTCAACTCACCAAAACAAGACTATGAATTCCAAGATGACTAACAGGGGTTTCAATAGCACTATTGCTTCTAGAAGGCAGGTAGGAAATGTATTTAAATATGATATTCACACACATGTACTCTTTAGATTTTAAAACAAATGAAAAAGTACAGAGTTACAATACATGAAAAATGTTAAAAATGTGCTTTATCTCTTTTATTTAGATTAAGGCATACAAAAAACCCCTAAAATCTACCAGTTCAGGGCATGTGATTAGAGCATTTAATTAAGTAAACTGAATTTATTCCAGTCTCTACAAATGACTGCCTACTCCTACAGAAGGCATGTATTGAAAGACAGTCAAGTGTCTTATCATGACATGTCAAGAAATCAACTAGATACTGTCGAAAGGAAACGTTAAGAAAAATCTATTTTTCACCATATTACAGCTTGCTAAGAAGTCAGACAAATACACTATGATTCCAGAGTTATTTTTGTGATCTGCAGATAGGATACTAAACTGGAAGGCACGAGTCCTGTTTTAATCCCTGCTCTGTTAATGAATCACTATGTGACGTGAGAAGTTACTACCTTTTGTATCTCAGTTTCCCCTTCTGTGACAGAGATAAACATATTCTTGCTTTTGTAAAGATCCGTAGGTGGAAAATGCTGTACAAATGCTAATGACTATTATTATTTCCATCTCTCAGATAATTAACAATAGGTAAATATTTTGAATGTATTTGAGGCTTTAAATTTGAATAGATTTGATCATATTCATTATAAATTGATATATATGCTAAAATAGCACAAAGGTGTGTGTCTATACCAACCATCTTCATAACCATACACAATACTCAGCTGTCATGTACCATTTAGCACTTTTAGATCCCAATCCTGAAAGTGCAGAGCACTCCCATTGATCTTTCAGGATCACACCCACATCATGCTTTATATTTTCATATTAATGTGGGTACTCAATTCCTCCACACGGACCTGCTTTGATAAAAATTGTTTTCAGAAGCCTCATGCTTTCGAGTCTCAGTACGGACTAAAAGAGATGTTTCAGCAACCAACAGGTAACATAATTTCTGTAAAAAGAAAAGGAGTACTTGTGGTGTACTTCCACGGTATGCATCCGATGAAGTGAGCTGTAGCTCACGAAAGCTCATGCTCAAATAAATTGGTTAGTCTCTAAGGTGCCACAAGTACTCCTTTTCTTTTTGCGAATACAGACTAACACGGCTGTTACTCTGAAACCTGTCATAATTTCTGTAGGTATTATACCTGAAGTGGTCATCTTTTTTGAAATGCCCAATGCATCTGCATCCTTGTGGTGAGGGATAAGGCAACTAAACATGATAATTTTGAGTCAGATTTTCATAGTTCTTTGTGTAGACTGTTGATATTTAGTGAGGCTAGTTGTTTTTCCTGCTGTGGGACTGACATTCACCCCACAAGTTAATTGAGCTGGTTAGCAGAGAACCAACGTGTACAGATCTAGAGATCCCAGGTTAAGGCAAATACAAACTGTTCCTTCTATTTTGTTTTCTACATTTTCTACCTTCTGTTTTGTGGTTTGTAATTGTTCATACATATCTGTTTATGCTTGGTTATTTGGGTGAGAAATAGTGGAGCTATTCATCTATTAGTTAATATTTTTCTCTTCTTAACTAATTTTCAAGTTATCATCACAAAGGATAGATCCATGTGTTCATAAATGTGTGCTTTGTATTACTTAGCATCCTTTCAAAAAATTGAATAGTCTTTTTATTTAGCATTGCAGACAATGGCTCTTGCCATGTTCTAAAATTAAAATGACAATTTACAGCATATACAACATATATTTTCTGTTTTGTGAAGAGAGAGGACTTTTCATGGAGACCATCAACTTCTTGGATTATTTTTCAGTAAATCTAATGTTTGCAAGTAGTGCTGTATGTAGAGAGGAGACATGAAAGGGTGGCATTATTAGTAGTAGTAGTAGTAGTAATATTATTTATATTATGGTAGCATCCAAAATGTGCTTAGTGCTGCAAAATCATATGGGAAAACAGTCCCTATCCCAAAGGGTTTACAGTCTAAATAAAGTCCAAGATGCACCAAGGGAAAACTCCCACTGACATCAATGGGTATTACACCTACATAACTGAGGGCAGAATGGAGCTCTAAGGGTCAGATTCTGTTCTTGTTTATATCAGTATATCCTCATTCTCTTAATTGGTGTTGCACTGATGCAACAGAATAGAAATTGATCCCCAGGGTGCAAGCAGCAGGAAAAATGACTAAAAGTATGTAAAGTTAGGCAGCCTGCTCTCTGCTTTGGCCCTGAGTATGAGAGTTAGCACAAGTTAGAAACTGGCTGATAGAAAATGCAAATGGAACAATTTACAAGGCAGCCTGAATTGCATGCTCTTAGTTTGCATACTGGTCCATATGGTCCTGGATGTTCTTTCATGTCTGGAACCAGTGGTAAAAGACAACACTAATGGAGAAGACAAACCAGGAATGGAGAATATTTGGCGTGGGTCATTTTTTTTTTTTACCCTTTTTATGATGTAAAAAGGCCTGAAATGTTTTTACATTAGAAAATCTACCATATTTTTTCAGGAACACTATGAATGACTGGAGAACCAGAAATATCAAGCAAGTGAAACTGAATTATATGAGATGGGAAGTTAGTTTTTTCTCTCAGATGGCTTAAAACTCATTGAATTATGTTAATTTTAGTTAATACCTATTTAACTACTGCCTCACAGACAGGAGGGAGAAAATCTATTTGTTAAAGATTTAACAAATCTATTGTTAAAGAATTCTAAAAATCTATTTGTTAAAGAATTAACAAATCCAGGAAGTTTTTGGAAAGCGTAGGGGACAATTTCCTGGCACAAGTGCTAGAGGAGCCAACTAGGGGGGGCGCTTTTCTTGACCTGCTGCTCACAAACCGGGTAGAATTAGTGGGGGAAGCAAAAGTGGATGGGAATCTGGGAGGCAGTGACCATGAGTTGGTTGAGTTCAGGATCCTGACGCAGGGAAGAAAGGTAAGCAGCAGGATACGGACCCTGGACTTCAGGAAAGCAGACTTCGACTCCCTCAGGGAACGGATGGCCAGGATCCCCTGGGGGACTAACTTGAAGGGGAAAGGAGTCCAGGAGAGCTGGCTGTATTTCAAGGAATCCCTGTTGAGGTTACAGGGACAAACCAACCCAATGAGTCGAAAGAATAGTAAATATGGCAGGCGACCAGCTTGGCTTAATGGTGAAATCCTAGTGGATCTTAAACATAAAAAAGAAGCTTACAAGAAGTGGAAGCTTGGACATATGACTAGGGAAGAGTATAAAAATATTGCTCGGGCATGTAGGAATGATATCAGGAGGGCCAAATCACACCTGGAGCTGCAGCTAGCCAGAGATGTTAAGAGTAACAAGAAGGGTTTCTTCAGGTATGTTGGCAACAAGAAGAAAGCCAAGGAAAGTGTGGGCCCCTTACTGAATGAGGGAGGCAAACTAGTGACAGAGGATGTGGAAAAAGCTAATGTGCTCAATGCTTTTTTTGCCTCTGTCTTCACTAACAAGGTCAGCTCCCAGACTGCTGCGCTGGGCATCACAAAATGGGGAAGAGATGGCCAGCCCTCTGTGGAGATAGAGGTGGTTAGGGACTATTTAGAAACGCTGGATGTGCACAAGTCCATGGGGCCGGACGAGTTGCATCCGAGAGTGCTGAAGGAATTGGCGGCTGTGATTGCAGAGCCATTGGCCATTATCTTTGAAAACTCGTGGCGAACCGGGGAAGTCCCGGATGACTGGAAAAAGGCTAATGTAGTGCCAATCTTTAAAAAAGGGAAGAAGGAGGATCCTGGGAACTACAGGCCAGTCAGCCTCACCTCAGTCCCTGGAAAAATCATGGAGCAGGTCCTCAAAGAATCAATTCTGAAGCACTTGCATGAGAGGAAAGTGATCAGGAACAGCCAGCATGGATTCACCAAGGGAAGGTCATGCCTGACTAATCTAATCGCCTTTTATGATGAGATTACTGGTTCTGTGGATGAAGGGAAAGCAGTGGATGTATTGTTTCTTGACTTTAGCAAAGCTTTTGACACGGTCTCCCACAGTATTCTTGTCAGCAAGTTAAGGAAGTATGGGCTGGATGAATGCACTATAAGGTGGGTAGAAAGCTGGCTAGATTGTCGGGCTCAACGGGTAGTGATCAATGGCTCCATGTCTAGTTGGCAGCCGGTATCAAGTGGAGTGCCCCAAGGGTCGGTCCTGGGGCCAGTTTTGTTCAATATCTTCATAAATGATCTGGAGGATGGTGTGGATTGCACTCTCAGCAAATTTGCGGATGATACTAAACTGGGAGGAGTGGTAGATACGCTGGAGGGCAGGGATAGGATACAGAGGGACCTAGACAAATTGGAGGATTGGGCCAAAAGAAATCTGATGAGGTTCAATAAGGATAAGTGCAGGGTCCTGCACTTAGGACGGAAGAACCCAATGCACAGCTACAGACTAGGGACCGAATGGCTAGGCAGCAGTTCTGCGGAAAAGGACCTAGGGGTGACAGTGGACGAGAAGTTGGATATGAGTCAGCAGTGTGCCGTTGTTGCCAAGAAGGCCAATGGCATTTTGGGATGTATAAGTAGGGGCATAGCAAGCAGATCGAGGGACGTGATCGTTCCCCTCTATTCGACGTTGGTGAGGCCTCATCTGGAGTACTGTGTCCAGTTTTGGGCCCCACACTACAAGAAGGATGTGGATAAATTGGAGAGAGTCCAGCGAAGGGCAACAAAAATGATTAGGGGTCTGGAACACATGACTTATGAGGAGAGGCTGAGGGAGCTGGGATTGTTTAGCCTGCAGAAGAGAAGAATGAGGGGGGATTTGATAGCTGCTTTCAACTACCTGAAAGGGGGTTCCAAAGAGGATGGCTCTAGACTGTTCTCAATGGTAGCAGATGACAGAACGAGGAGTAATGGTCTCAAGTTGCAGTGGGGGAGGTTTAGATTGGATATTAGGAAAAACTTTTTCACTAAGAGGGTGGTGGAACACTGGAATGGGTTACCTAGGGAGGTGGTAGAATCTCCTTCCTTAGAGGTTTTTA